CGGGCTGATAGATTTGTAGGTGGGAAATTGCAACCGCTGCTCTTCGCATTGGTGTCGTTGTCTGTCCATGTCCAGTGCTTGCTGTAGCGGAAGACATCAAGTATCGTGCGCAGGCATCTGGGGCGTCTATATTTGTCGGAGACAATGTCACCATCTCCAAGTTTAAGACTATCCAGTCCGGTTGCACCAAAATTCGAACAGTCTTGCAAGCAGCGGGGTCACCACTTGAGGATGTACTCCAATATCCTGTCGAGCTAGACCAGATACCAAGTAACTTTGTTTTTAGAGATTCTCTACCAAAAACTAAGTGGTCAGATCCATCAGTAATTTATTTTACGTCAGGTTTGTCAATCCACCGCTTGTTCTCTATGAAATCCTATGCAAGATATAAAGAGTCAAGGGGCTAAAGTTCCAAATCAGGTACAACGGGCATGCCAAAGATGGTTCTCCATAACCAAGTTTCATACCCTCTAGGTTAGATAATTGCTGTGCCAATTGCCGTTGGAATATAAAAACTCATCTGACTCTCTCTCACAAAAAGCACACGCCTTAACTGGCAGCTTGTGGCTAGGATTGGAACCTGGAAAGCTGTACTGGAATCTTTCAGAACAAGGTACGAATCCTCACGCAAAGGAATAAACTCCCTCAAAGGAGCCCGTTTTTCATGCCTTTTATAAAATACGGAATTTTCAGCTTACCACAATTCGATGTCTTAGGCTGGGCGAAGGCAGCTTGGTCATGGTTTGCTGCCTGGAACTGTGGTGCGGCCCTTTTTGTGCAAGACACTACGGGACCCTTCAACGCTGAAAGCACTCTCGATAATCTACACAACTACCCCATCACTACTCTCTGCTCCCCTCCCACTGCTTATCGTCAATTTGTGCTACCGTCAAGGCGCGACTATTTCTCTCAAAAACCTCCAATGGCGCTAGAGCAATGCGTCGGAGCAGGTGAACCGCTGAATGACGAGGTAATTCGAATCTGGAAAGAAATGAGTGGAATAGAAATTAGAGACGGGTATGGTCAGACGGAAACAACCCTTGTTTGCGCAAATTTGAAAGGGGCCAAGATTAAATACGGTTCCATGGGACTTCCTGTACCTGGTGTGCCTTTGACTGTCATCGATGAGCAAGGCGATGAATCACCACCGTTACAAGAAGGTGAAATTGCCATTGCAACTACGACCAGTTCTGGAGCCAAAACTATGAATGTCTTCTCTGGCTATCTAAATCCAGAGGGCGAAGTTACGTTGCCACAGCGAGAAGGGAAGGCCTGCTCCTACTACTTAACTGGAGATAGAGCTTATAAAGATGATGACGGTTATCTTTGGTTTGTCGGTCGATCGGATGATGTTATAAACTCATCTGGATACAGGATTGGTGAGTCTTGGTTCTTTGCAAAGGAACTCGTGGAGAGTCAGTGAGGTAAGGATTGATATTAATTGTGATTTGTCTTACAGGACCCTTTGAAATTGAATCCGTCCTCAAAAAGCACCCCGCCGTTGTTGAATCTGCCGTAGTTGCTTCCCCAGATCCTGAGCGTGGCGAGATTGTTAAAGCTTTTATTGTCTTGCAAGAAGATTTTAAATTTCTGGATCCGGAGTCCCTCATTGCTGAAATACAGGCGTTTTGTAAGAAGGAAACTGCCCCGTACAAGTATCCACGACGGATACAATTCGTAAAGCCTAGTTTCTTACCCAAGACAATCAGTGGGAAGATCAAGAGAGCAGAACTAAGGGCTTTGGAGAAGAAACGAGCAATGAAGTTCTCGAAGATATGACGATTGCTGGAAATAGACCTGTGGGGGTATTGCTTTAGTGTCCGTGGTGTATAGATACAACCTCTGGGCAGTAGTTCAACCACCTCACATGACCCCTCAACCTGACTCCCGCTTCCCTGTAACTTCTAGCAAGAATAAACCAATTTTCCAATTATCGTTCCCAATCCTCCAGAGAATCAAATTTGCCAAACCTAATCATGGCTACTGACGATGAGTGGCAGTTAATGGAGGGCATTCCCCAGTTCAAGGATCCGTTCATCCAGAAATATCTCAAAGGGCGCGATGAGTTGATAGAGGAAGAGCATAAATTGCGACATGGTTAGTATTATGAACACGACTGCTGGAATGTTGAAGACTAAAGGACATCTAGATGCCCATTTTCGCAAGTCAATGTCTACGGCAGCTACTGAAGCATGTAGAATAGTTTCTGCAATCCGTCGGAGAGAGTTGAAAGAAGTCTGGACAAAGGAGACAGAAAAAAAGCTGGCTGAGCACTCGGATGAAACGCTCTATCCGGGGATGATGTTCCATTTAGCAAGGGAGAGAATGGAGAAAACAGATCTGTGGAAAATTGTACAGAAAATGCCGAAAGGTGAGTCCTTACCTATGATCAGTGCCCCGAGGTCATCCTGGCTAAGATACAGGTTTGTATTAATTTTAATAATTTCCAGGCTCTTTATTGCATGCACATCTAGAAGCTATGATCAATCTGGATTTATTATGTGATTTGATCCTGTCACTTCCCAACTTATACGTGTCCTTTTCAACCCCGCTTGTCTCAGCAGAAGATTGGGAAACGAGCCCTCTCTCGTTCCGGTACTTCTCAGCTCCTCCAGAGCCGTCTGGAGCGAGCAATTTTCCTTGGGAAGCGGGGTATACTCCATCATCTTTTGCTCCTGTGTCCCAGATGGCCAGCGCGTTCCCCAACGGAGGAGTCGAAAGGTTCCGTGCCTGGTTCAAAAGTCGATGTACTCTTGCTAACGATGCATCTTCACATCATCGGGGCGTTGATGATATTTGGGTTCAATTTATGCGCACTTTCCAAGTTGTTGATTCCATTGTATACTATGAACCCGTGTTCCGTGCATGCATGCAACAAATGCTTAAAGAGCTGAACGATGACGGTATCCGGTACGTTGAATTCCGACTGGTGTTTGATTTTCTATATCGACGTGACCAACACGATGAATATGAATCAGACTATGAAGGCCTTTTCCAAGCTTTTTATGAAGAGATTGAGAATTTTAAATCCTCCCCTGCGGGGAAAGGTTTCTATGGAGCAAGAATGATTTGGACGACAGTGCGAGCGTTTTCAAATCTTACGATTGTGGGAAACATGAAACATTGTATTGCAGTTAAACAGAAATTCCCGGAACTGATTGCCGGCTATGACGTTGTGGGTCAGGAGGAAAAGGGAAGGTCTCTCAAAAATTTAGTGCCCGTTCTCTTTTGGTTCAGGAAGAAATGTGTTGAGGCTGGTGTGGATATACCGTTCTTCTTCCATGCTGGAGAATGGGTTGGGGATGGTGACGAAACAGATCACAATCTCTACGATGCTATCCTGCTGGGCACGCGGAGGATAGGACACGCCCTGACACTCCACAAACATCCACTTCTCATTGACCTGGTCAAGGCAAAGAAGATCCTGATCGAATGCTGTCCTATATCAAATGAGGTCCTCCGCCTTACCAGCTCAATCATGACACACCCACTCCCGGCATTGTTGGCGCGAGGTGTTCCCGTTGCATTATGCAACGACGACCCTACACTCCTGGGATACGGCAAGAATGGACTGACACATGATTTCTGTCAGGTCCTCAACGGGCTGGAAAATGTTGGACTTGCTGGACTTGCCTCCATGGCTGAGAACTCGATCCGTTGGAGCTGTTTTGAGGACCAGAGTTCATCAGAATGGCTGCGGAATATCCGTTCAGGAATCATGGGAGCGGATGCGAAGGCTGTTCGCTTGAAAGAATGGTATATTGAATTCGAAATTTTTTGCCGGTGGGTGCTGTTGGAGTTCGGGTCGGAGGCTGTTGAGGATGAGGAGAAGTAGCTCGTGGTTGTTTTAAAAGGATTTTATGACTCTGAGAGAGGATATTGAATTTTTTATGAAAGCATGAACATCCACCCGTTTCATACTTGGAAATAATAGAAGTTCGTATCTCTCTCCAGACCTACATGAACACATGATAGCAGCAAAAGACTGTAGCCATATTGTTGCATCTAAACATGGTAGCTATTATCCCTGGATTGTTTAGCTCCCACGAAAATTAATTAATATGACTGGAAAAAAATGCTCTGATAAACATTTCTTTCAAGACTGCACAGGTGAATGTTTTACCCCTAAAAAAAGTTATTGAATTGACTTCAAGAAGCACCCTCCACTCTTTCATGTAGCCTGGACGTTGTGTGTTAGGTATTCTGAGTCTGTTAACAGTAAGGTCTCAGATATCTGCATTGTGCTGTTGCATGAGTTTCTTCCAGACGCCACTTCATTGATGAATTATTAACAGAGATCTGTGAAATGGATCAAGAGACTGGTCATTCTGCAGAAACCCACACAACATACACAATCTACTATCTTAAAGAACTAACCCTACACATTGCTTAGGCTGAATAAAATGAAAGCATTGTTCTACTACATCTCTCGCATTTCAACCACCCGGAGTACTCACTGGCAGCTCTCTTGTTCCCCTCCAGGTCCATTGGGTTTACTTTTTGCTTCACGATCCACTGTTAACTACCTCCTAGAGGAGTTTTGAGGAATCGGGAATTTCCTGACACACTGCCAGAGGTCCTCCTTGGGAAACAGTTTCGTCTATCACCAGATATATTTCCGCCGCAAAGAAGTTCTGCGCAGGCCTACCCTGCAGCAATGAAAACGGCAATTCCAAATGAAATCAAATGAAAAGTAGAGAAAACAACAAGTCAAAACGAAACCAGAGACAACATAAATAACGCAGCAGGCTCAATTGGAGAGTCCTATTGAGTGGCGTTTTTCGGGTCTGGTCGTTTTTGTGGTACCTGTCAACACGGTTCGTTCCTGGACGAAGCGGTTCTCATGATGTTACTATGTCCAATTAGTTAATACCTTGGCAGCTTGAGATGAAGTAGAATATTTCAAATTCATAGTTGACGATGGGATAGTTATATTGAAGGTGACTATTTCATCATCAAACCTTAAATGTTTCTCCTCTTTCTGAGCATTTTACACATATTTAGGTAGTTACGCTGATCCACAATTGAGCGAGACACTAAAATTGAATCTTTCAATTTAATTCAAATTATCTACTTCTAACAACAAATAACTATATAAAAATAAATTAGAAATAGGATTATGGCAGCTTCTTCTAGAATGTCCTACAGTATGGCAGCTTTTGCAGTGTGGTGGAGTCTGTAATTGTGGCATAGACTCTGGAATAAGAGCCTCTGCCAGAGGGATAACTGACTGTTCAACATGTGCTGCAGATTGAATAATGAGATCTTGAGCTTCCTCCATAGTTTAGACCTCTTTGATGTTGAATATGATGTGTAGATATCTTTTGTTTTAGCTTCTCTATCTCATTGGCATTGAATATATTCTGATATTGCTTCTTCATAATAGTGACCCTGATCATCTCATATTCACAAGCTTTAATAATCTGTTCAAATCCTTTCATTAAGTCTTGAGAGGCATCAAGGCCTTGTGTCATAAGACCATTGACCTTATTCACCTGCTTGTATAATTGATAGAAGTTCTTAGGCATTCATAGGACTCAAGATGAATGAGAGTTGCTGGCTCAACTAGCTGGAGAAGAAGTCTGAAGTTGAATATTTAGCTGCTGAATAACCTGATCTGGTTCAAATGAAACTATTCCAGTAGCTAGAAAGTCATTTTTAATATTTTGAGGTTTAAAGACCTCTGCACAGGTCTTAGGATAGACACCTAAGTAGTCACGCTTCTTAATAGTTGAATTCAAGACACATTCACTGTTCAACTAGACCTCCATATGCTCACTTCAAAACTGTGAAAACACTCACATCTAGCAGCTGCAAGAGATGTGATGAATGTGCTGGCATGCATAAAGGGATAATCTTATTATTCTTGCAGATCTGATCAAATTCTGAGATAAGATGACTGCCATGCCCATCTAGAAAAAGAAGTTGATAAGTGTCAATTCTATGAGGATTGGTAATAGGGAAAAAAAATCATGTAAGTCATTGTAGCTCAATTTCATCTGTAGTCCAGTCATTTGACAGCCCATCAAACCAGCCTTCAGGTAGAGTCTGACTTTTAAGAATCATGTATGGGGGGTAAGGCTCAGCCTGACACATTGACTGACTCAATAGCAGTCACCCATTCTCAATTTCCAGGCTGTAACAGCTTTGCCCGGTCATAGTGCTCAGGTCTAGGAATGATCTTGGTAGTTGCACAGAGTCTCATTGCAAATCCAGTCTCATCAAAGTTGTAGATATCTTCAGTCTGAATTCCATGCTCAGCAATTGTATCCCTCAAAGTCTTAAATCAAGTCTGAATAATTTTCATATCCTCACATTTGGCCTGGCCATGATTGCAATGATGAGAATAACAGCATTGAAGCTCCGGAAGACGTGCCAGCAGATTTGACACCCATTTCTTTCCTACACAAGGGATTTTAAAAGATAGGGAATGAGAGGCTAGAATATGGTTGACTATATTTTTCACAATGCCGGTTGAGGGAGTATTTCTTGTTTAGCTAGATCCAGCACTCATTAAGCTAGTCTTTTCTCTTTAGTAGAGGATAATTTATGTGATTTTGTGTGTAAATTCACTCATGAAGGCCGGCCATTAAGTCTGTGAGCTAGAGTAGAGAGTGGCACATTGTAAAGACGTGTAATCTCATGAATAGAGCCTTTTTCTTCCTTTTAAAAGCAGATATTGCTATTCAAGCCTTCCCTCTCTCTCAATAGAAGTTGAAGATTTTTTTTTTTTTTTTTTTGAATTGGTGGCATAATTATGCGTTGAAGAGAAGGGAATTTTTAATTAGTAGGTAAAAAGAAGTGATCTCGTTTGCTTGGTTATCTCGCTCGCTTGTGGTTTACGTTTAGTTAACTAACCAACTAATTATAATCCCGAGCTTAATAAGCCACGGGCTAAGCCAACCTTCTTTTTGATCTGGTTGGTGTTGGCAAAGGTTATGGGCTGCCACCGGCAATGCAGCGGCGATGAGCGATGAATGACGCACCCAGGCCACTGACAGGCTCACGCCTAATTTGACCAACCTCACCCGCTCATCACCACCGCTACGACTGCCAACGACCACCACAACTCAACCCCCTCCCGGGCTGCCGCTGTTCGTCCTGGCCCCTTTATGGTTAGCTGGACTTGATGCAAGGCGACGAAAGAAATCAGTGCGTTTAATAAACGGTTGTTTCTAGCTCTTTCTGCCTTCCACCTCGTTCGTTTCTCATGGCCACATCTTGCCCGTGGAGTTCTAGGTTGCCGTCCAACCGTCCAACATCTCTACCACCTCAAACCCGAGCCACGCTCCACCACTCTTCATACCCGCCGATTCCTATGTTGCGAGCACCTTTCGATGACATGTTTTAGCTCCCTATGAGTCCGGAGGCTCTGGATTCGCCCCTCTCCTTAATTCACCATGTCGTACTTTCTTCCCTCGTTCTTCCAGAAGCGGTTGCTGAGATATGCACTTTCGCGGCTGGAACTGGTCGATACCGATGCTCTTGATTTGGAGAGTTTGGGCATCAAATGGGGCCAGCGGAGTACTTTTGAACTGAGGGATATTGGTTTACGGCTTGAGGTATGTTTTTCTTCTTCTTTTGTTTTTTTTTTTTTTTTTTTTTTTTTTTTTTTTTTTTAAAATTCTTCTTTTGCTTTTGATGTTACGTCTGATTCGGTGTAGTCTCCATCCCGACCTTGAAAAAGAATAGGGCTGACACGTTACTGTTCCGATATATAGAAGCTGTCTTCAGTTTTGCTGTTGCCTCCGTCCTGTAGCCTTAAGAAAGCTAAGGTTTCCCTCATTCGTGTGACGGTCCCCGCAGATATATACAGCAGCAGCATCGTTGTTGAGGTTGAAGATGTGCAAGTCAACTTGGAGTTACCGTCGGATGTGGCTTGGTCGAACGAAGTAGATCACGAGGCCTCCGGAGCCGCTGTACAGTCAAAGGGTCCCTACGAAAACGGATTCAACAAACCTGGACCCAGGAGCCATATCCAATCCGGTGAGAAGGGGAATATCCTCCCATCCACCACGGACCTGGCCCAATCGTTCCTTGAATCGGAACCACGAGTTGAAAAGGCGGAACTGGAAGCTGCGATTTTGTCCCAGTCCCACTACTCCCAAAGCTCAGATGGGCTCAGTGACGATGGAGAGGAAGAACTAGGTATTGGGCTTGATGGGGGAATGTCACTCCCCAGTTTTGTTGCCGGGTTTCTTAGAGGAGTTGCCGATCGTCTGCAATTAAAAATTAGGGATGTGACATTCACGATCGACATGGAAGTGCGGCAGGACAAGGCATTGAAGTCTTCTCCAGATCTGACAATAGATCCTGTTACAGCTATGTTTACGATCCAGGATATATCCATAGACAGTGTGACATCGGCGCTGGAAGAAAAGTCAGACCTGAAGCCTGGTAAACGCCATATAGCCTTCTCTCAAATTAATTTGATGGTCCTTTCCGATGCTGGAGTTTTCTCTAACTACTCCCACATTGCCCCTCCTCCGGCTTCCCCTTCCACCGCTCATTCCAAGCTTATCCACACGCCACTAAGGATACCTTCACCTGAGCCGCCCTCTTCCTCCTCAGACACCTCCCTTGCAATGTCTCAGGGAACTATTCTTGAGCAGTCGTTAATTTTAGAAGATAGAGCTCCACCACCTCTTCAGGATTCTATGTTTTCAGATGATGGCAGGTTCTCTGACGCAGGATCGGAGTATGATTATGGTGCTGGAAGTTGCTCAAATCATTCTCACCTATTTTCTGAAAGTCCATACGATGATAAAATACTAGATAGCCCTGGTTATCTCAATGAAGCCCTGAGGATCCAACTCGCTGATGATGTTGAAAGCTCATCATCAATGGATCATTCCACGGAATCTATGAATGGACCGTCCGTGGATACCCTACGCCCACAAAGCCCTGAATCCTCTCCTGACGATCATATGTACCATTCAATGGAGAGCTCTTCTGCTCCTCAGATTCCTGCTTTCCAAGGCTCAAAAGGTACTTCACCTTGTACCAGTCAACGGGGTTTTCCAGATGCGGGCTTTGTGGATCCTGAACCTTCCACTTCAGCCAGCTTTCCTCGTATCGACGCACCTAGAGAACCCGAATCTACCAGTCCGCAAAGCAGCCATTCAGAACCCGATCCCTATGAAGACTTGTCACAATCGAAAATATTCACTCATGGAGAAGCAATAAGTATGTATATGAGTGCTATGAGTTCCAAGTCAGCTCGCTCTGAAGCTTCCCCTGTTATGCCCGGAGGATGGGAATCACCAATATATGGAAATAGCACGATAGATATCGCCTCCACCACGCCTGATTTACCCGCGTCAGATGCCGATGTCCCTTCAACAGGTGCAGAAGGGACACCAAAAGCCCAGTCTCTTGTTGGATCGCAGCTTGCGGATGAAAAACCTGTTTTCTCGGACATGTTGGGAACTCCCCTCCTTCCAGTCCCAAACCAGCCGGGTCCTAACACGACTTCATCAAACTCCCCGTCTAAATCAACGCAATATAACTCTAAACTGGCGAAAAAATTTTTTGAAATCGACAAACTGTCCATATGGTTGTCGTCTTTGGAAAGTCAACATGTCGATGCTCAGAAGTCGATGACAACAGACCCTCCCAAGAAAAGCTTTAACCATATGGAGGCATCAACCATGAGCTTTTCTGATTCGGTTACTTCTGAAATGTCACCAAGTCCTAAACATCCCCTGTCAGGGTGTTCCCTCAGACCATCAACGTCCTCACGTCCACCACCTCCAGAATTGGCCCCTCCGTCTCAAGCATATGCACGTGACTCCCTGAAAACAGCTGACACTGTTGCTGTTGATATATCTTCTGTTACCGTCGAGTTTGACATCGCTTGTGGTTGGCTTGTGGCCAAAATGGGGCAAAAGCTTGTCTCCATTTGGAGTTTAAATACTGAGAAAGGTGAATTGCAAGGTGAAAGCAAGAGCCTCGCCATCCCACCTCTAGATTTAAACTTCTCGAGTTGCTCCGTGAGACTATTGGAGCATCTTCCTGTCCGCCATTTTACTGTCGATACTGCAACCCCAGAGGTTACTTCTTCATCCAGGGAGATTATCCTACACGCATTATTTTCAGGAATAAAATTCAAATCCTTAGTTCATAAAGACACGTCAGATTTGGTCCTTAACATTTCCAAGTTTACTTTTGGCCATGCGTCAGAAGATATTATTTCCTTTGACGAAGGTCTTAAAATGCGTGATTCCATGAGAGATGATTTCCACTCGAAACAAGGAGATATTTCATTATCAGTGAAGTCAA